AGCGAGTAACTACACTCATGGACAAATTTAGAGGAACGCAAAAAAGGTTTAATTTCTCCTGTGTTAAATATCCTACATACTGGCCAAAAACATCAATAAATGCTATTAAAAAAAAAGTTTTGGAAAAATTTAATTTGTTTTTATTTAATTATAGAGTAATATTGTGTTATTTCATACTATGAAAAATTTTGCCAAATTTTAATTTGTGTTTAATTTTAGATTTTGTTTAAATTTTTACCTAGACTGACATATTACCGTGTTAAGCGTGTATTGTCACTGCAAATAAACTGAGAATGCCAGATCTAAACGCCACTCAAGTAGCTGTAACTATTACGTAAATTTAAATTGGGCACACCTACAAACATGTGGCACTACGGTTATCAAAATTGGTGGTAAACCGAGATGTCAAGAGGTACCGACAAACTGGACAGTTAACAAGACCCGCAGGATCGTTTTTTCGATGTTTGCAATTTTATATTAACGAATAATAAGAAAATTCATGATAATTTGTTTATACACAGTTTCTTTTTGCGTTCCTCTAATTTTGTCGAGAAGTATATAAGCCATCGGCTTGCACTAACCACTAAGTATTAATCTACAGCTGTCCTATTTAAACCAATAATCGAAATGTTATTGATGTAATTTAGGCGATTAGTTCAGCATAGTTTTGCCCATCCGCTTAAATTAAATGAGACTAGATTGATTGGATTTCAAATTACATCTGAAAAGTATTAGCGAATAAGACCTAAATATGTCATAATAACGTGAATCTTGTCTGAATCAAAAGAAAGGAAAAGATAGGATCCTTAGAAGGAAACATATCCTTTCCTTTCTTCGAATTGTTTCACAAGTCTAATAATAAAAATAAGCTAAACATAGTGGTGGTGATTTAATATTTCGAGGACAAATTAAGTCCGCTAACATAGATTTGTACAACACAGTAACACCTTTTATTTGGGTCTTCCCCCCATCTTCTCTTCAAAATTATTATATTTTTTCCCCCAAAAAATTTGCTTGTGTGTGGGGGTCTTCCCTTTTTAATATATATATATATATATATATATATATATATATATATATTCGAAGTAGCCGTGTTTGTAAGGAAACATTTTAGCATATTTGAAAACCCTAATAATAAACGACATAGGAACAAACTACGTACAAAAACTCATAAAACAGCCCTGAATTAAAAAAGTTTCCTGGGTATGGCTCCTAAAATGTTTAATAAACTCCCAAAAAACATCAAAGAAACTGATAATATAGACTTATTTAAGAAATTGCTTTAGGGTTTTTTAATAAATAAAGCATACTACTCAATCTACTAATCAACGAATATTTTGAAGATAAAATGAATGATTTTTAGTACCTACAATAATTAATGTCCGATTTATTTATTATATTTTTATCTTTATGTTATTAAGAATTATGTAATTGATATTTAAGATAATAATTTATGTATTTTTTAAACCAGCCAATTATAATTGAAATTGTTATTTTATTAAAAATTTATTTTCATTTTGCTAGGCGATAACCAAATATTTGTATTTTATTTATATTTACATAGTGTCACTTATCATACCTTTTCCACGAAGTTTGTAAGGTTTTACCTATGTTTTTACAAATAAATTATTTAATTTGATGATTTGATTTGAATATCTGTATGAAATAAATCCACTTTTAATGAATAAAACTACATATTCCACCTAAAATTCTTTAATGAGTATGACTTACGTCTTCGTAAGTACACGTCCGACTCGTTGTGAGCAAAATATTTAAATAACATAAAGCTGTATCAATTTTTTTACATTCACTTTCAATGTCTATTTCGTGGTTCTAAGCTTAATCTTTTATTGTCATTAATTCGGGATACGTTATTTACAAAAAATTCTAATAAATCAACAGACTTTTTTAAGTGCAGTTGGAGATGATCTTAGATCTTTCAAAGAAAGCGTCAAATCAAAACGGAAAAACTAATCGCTTAAAATCGTTATAGCATAACCGTGTAAAAATCAAGAAGTTAAGGAGAATTTAAACATATATATTAAGAGGGTAGTAAGCACATGTTATTGTAGAAAAGTGACATGCGTTTAACTAACTAAGAAAGTTAAAAAAACATTGCATAATATACGTCTACGCATCGTGTCGCGTTATTGCGTCATAACAACATTGCAAACAAAATATTGCCGTTACGGAAACTTAATTCATAAAACAAAGGAAAATTGTACAACAACACCTACAAAATTTAACACCCATCGATCGTAACTTTACTGCCGTTTAATAAATAATAACATGAGTCAAATTACTTGACAAGCATGGCGACAAGTTAGTAAACCCGCAAGAATTCTTTTTTTTATTAATTAAAAAACTTACATAAAGAATTTTTTTTAAGATTCTAAAATAAAAATTCCTTGTAAATGCATAATCAAGATGACATAGTTATAATATTTGAATATTTTAAATAATAAAAATCTAATGTAACTTAACCCAAAAAACGTGATTTATGAACGCTGCGAAATGTAGCAAACTCTAAATTATACGAGGTAATTCATTCGTGATGGTTTTTACTACCAAATTTTCACAAGTCCTTTTAAATGTAGTAATGCAAACGCTTCTGTAAAAATATACCTACCTAGACAAAATAAATTGAGAAAAAAATTGAAGAGGAAAGGCAGTTCAGTCAGTGGTCGTTTAATTTACCATTCAACCGGTCGGGGAAACCCGGGGCAATGACACGTCAAATACGTCTCGAAGGTACATTCATAGGGAAAATGCGAAACTGTGTAAAACTGCAGTTATTAACGTCAGTTGTACTATAGCGATGATGACGTCACGCAGTGACTGTATTATTATAGACGATAGATAATATGACGTAATTTCGCAATGCTTCTTGACACAAATGATCGCAGGCTTAGATAGAATTTCAAGTTCCTATTAATCATGTAAATTCACTAATACACTAATTTATACTTGGTAGAGCCACGCTGCAGCTTTATTATGCTTGTAGCACGAATGGGTCGGCTCGACCGGGAAAAGACTACGCTCTTACAGAATACCAGCGTAAAATAGCAGCTTAATACTATGGTGAGTGTAGAGATCCGGAGATCCTTTTTTACTGGAAAGGAGGCATTCCATCTTAGTCCTCAGGAGTGACAACGCAACTGTGTTTTGATTCTTAATCCAGGATAAATGTAGATGTCTATGGCCCACAGCATCCACTTACCATCAGTTGGACTGTGTGCTCGTTCGAATAACAGTAACACCGTTATTCTATAAAAAGAATATTTTCCCACATTGTCATAAAGACATCAATAGTTTAAAAACAGCCTGCTCTAGAAATCTTAAAGGTTTAGGATTGGAGTACAAATTTATTTTTCTTCGTTTTTATGAATGTGTTGTTTCACTGACTTTATATTTTACGAATATTACTGCGTTTCTTCTCTGTAACCGTGTACCGAACAGGTAGGTACGAATTTACTGACGACTTAAAACTTTAATCGTATCTTAATAGCTCAGAATTGGAAGTGTGGTCAAAATGGTCAACATTTTGAATGATAATTATTTATGCCTATTTTCCCGCATCTTATTCATAAACCGGTACCTATGAACAGAAACCGGACAAGAATTTTGGTAAAAATATATCGTAACTTGTCATAAGTATATATAAACAATATAATAAAACATTACTTTTAAACCTGCGATAGCTCAATTGTGTGATCGATTTCCAACTACATTAAGTAAGTCGCTGGCTGTTACTTGGATCACTAATCAACAAAGCCGTCAAAGGACATCAAGTTCTCTGCAAAGTACATAAGTGCCGGCATTGAGTTCTATCTATAAAAAAAGTATTTTACAAATTATACTATTCTTGCTAGACTATACCAATTAGTATTAAAAAGCTTCCTTAAACAAAATACCAAATTTACGTAACCATTAATTGAAGTTTATATAATAATTCGATATCAATCTCACTTATTGAAAACATTTTGGTATGCAGTTTATCAACACCTAATTTATATTGAGAATGTCTTCAAAAGTACACCCCTAAGATGCAAAGATCCTAAAGCAAAAATTAGTTAAAATTTTAATAAAACAACAACTAATATTCCACGTTACGTTCTTCATATCAAATGGCAGGCACTTGTAGCCGCAACTGAAACCGATACAGAGCCGGCTCTTACCTAAGAGAGGTTTTCTGATTATAACAATATATTATTTCAATTCTTATTAATTACCTGTTACTGATATTTATATGATCAAAATACTTGTTTCAACCTAGACTAAGACTGAGGGAAATGCTTATAAATGAAAAAAAAAATAGTAATTTCAACTATTATTTCAAAAATTATAAATTAAATATTATTACTGCTCTGGTTACTTTGATATTCATTTTACTATATTTCTTTCAGTTTAAAAAAACTCTTATAATATAAACTAAAAAATATTGAATAAAATATGGAGTAAAAATTGTTAATTTTTTCTGCTTATTTTAAATTGAAGCAAAAGTGAAATTCAAATGCCTTACAAACGTATTATCACAAAATTTCTCTATGACAGAATGTGGAACGAAAATTTTCGAACAGCATTTACTGTACTGTAAACTAATTGAAGACTATGTGAACAACCGGATTCACAATTTCTTTTGTTAGTGAAATTTCATCATCTTGATCATCATTACTGCCCTTCACAAGTTTACTGATGAACATAGGCATCAAAGAATACCGCAAAAAAAACAGTCCTGAGGTATCTTCGACCACAGGCCTTCCGCTTCTTGATAACTAAAAACGGATATAAATGATATGACATTGGGTTCAATGCTATTATAAAAGCCAATATAAAAAATCAATACTCTTAGATTATAGATAACGTTTCTTTTCTTCTGCTATTAAAAAATTGCAGAAATCTAAGAAAAGAAGAAATAGATACATTATAACTATTTTACTAGGCAAATTAAAAATATTTAAAAAACGTTTAATCAAACTGAAGGTGTTTTAAAAACTTACATAAAATAATTTAAAGATATGTTTGCTGGCTGGAAATCCAAAAACACAATTCCTTAAAAAAAAACAACAGTAATAGCTGTGGATATTTAAAAGAAAAATACGTTCGAAAGTTTAAACTTTAGTGTCGGCACATGCGTTCTCCGTCACGGCACCTCGCGGAATGTTAACAGACAGCTTAGAGCCGGTCTTAATTATATCAACTAAAAACTTTTTAGTTTTACATTGCACGGACACGATACGACACAACAGCATCGCGTGAGTGATATAAAAATCGAAAACTGTAATTACGATAGCTATTATGATGACGATTTAAGTGAGTATTACGATTTATTATGCAAAACGTTTTACGTGCGTTCTGCTCTTACACGAACATTTTCAGTCTCTGGTAAATTAATTGCTTTTTTATTTATGACGATACTTTCAATTTAAAAAAAAACAATGTTCGATATACATAATATAAATTCGTTACAATTACCCCGAGAGATCGTCATAAGATTCGAGACGATGAATATGATAGAATACTAACTGACGATTCCCTCAAAATTACGTATAAATCTATCTATCTATAGTCTTAGGAGAATATATAATATTATTTTACTGCACATTTTCCAAAACTTTCCGTCGATAGAAAGGAAACAGAACTTTTGTTAGTTAAATAATTAAATATCATAAGCTAGGGCTTGACTAAAAGCCCAGCTGATGGTAAGTGATGATGCAGAAGAAGATGGTAAGTGGTGATGCAGCAGAAAAAGATGGTAAAGCATAGTGACTTAGCTTTACATAAGCCTATATAGCTCTTGTCTTGAAGACAGCCATATTGTATCAGATAGAAAGACATATTGGCAAATTATTAGACTCATGAGGCACACGCAGAACTTATTTACCATACACAATCACTAGATACGACTGAAGCCTACTGCTAAGAATGAGCTTCTATAATTCAATAGAATAGTTGTGAGACTACATTCTGAAAGTGAATCTTATTTTTTTAACGTAAATTAAGAAATAAATAAGTATTAAAAATTAAATCGTTGTCTACACGTTGAGCGTATTATTCACGCCACACTTAGTGGTCGCAGTCGTGTCGTTATCTTCAATTCTAAAGACCTTCTTTAAGAGTTCAGGTGTATGCGGTATCGTCCTTTTATTTGATGGAAGATAATTTGAATTGATAATCTTGTCAAGTCATCTAATAATGGTAATCTGGTTGATATATCAATAACAAGGTCCGATACAAATAAGATTTAATGCTATATTGTTCAATAACATACTTAAATTTCTTCTTATATTATAAGAGCTTGCCCGGTAGATTTATTTATTTAATTCAAAAACTCTTGTGGCTTACAGAAAATCCAACACGCACACAAGGTTAAATATATGATCTTGTTCTCTACCTGTTTCGTTATGTTACGCGATGAGTTTCGCTCAGAATTTACTTCTGGCATTTTACAGTATTAATATATTGGGTCTAGATTTTGGCACTAAAACAGCATATATTATGAATATGATGAGTCATTTATGTCAATTACTAAATAATGTGCTAATAACTTGACTACAGCGCCAATCATCGGATACATAGTTCTATAGGTCGGTATCCGAACGACCCTGTTTGCCAATCGAAAGAGACGACTGCAGGTTGAACTGTTAATACATATAAAAGTAGACGAAATCATCATCTCGTATCCCCCTCTTTCCTCATCTAAAACTAGACTTATTTAAATTATATTTTTAAGAATAACCTAAGAAAGATTGTGACTATGTCTTTATATATTTATCTATTTATGTTTGTTAAATTTATTTTGGATGTCTGATTTAACGGCGATATAACTTTGTAACTAATTTTAGAAATTTTAAACGGTTCCTAGTGTTAATAAAAATGATTACTTTAACACTATTGAACGTTATTTGTTGAAATTTAAACTGTACTCACACTGCACACGCACGTGCTTTAACGGGATAGTGTGAGTTCTGTTTACATCACAGAAATCTAAATAATTGCCTTATTATTTAGATTTCTGTGGTTTACATATTGTTTGGTTTCGGCAGGTCACAGGCTCAATTTAAGAATTATACGTTTATATTATCTACTTACCACGTCCTTCAAGTACGAGTAACATCAAAAAAACGGCTGTTGAAAAGTAATTTATTAAGTATAGATGTTATTCAAGGACGGAACGACGGACGGATTTTTTTGAGAAACAATTTAAAACATGAGAGAAGTAGATATTAATTTTATCGTTAAAAACTACACTTATTTCATTATACAGGGGAAAAAAACAATAGAATTCGTTTACATAGAAAATCCAACAATAGAGTTCAACAATAGAATTCGTTTACATCCAGTGGCGAAGCTAGAGCTCCAAGCTAGGGCAAGCCCAAGATATAAATTGATAAAAATATAGATTGTTGTTTTAGCAGTTTTATAAAAATACACCAATCTTGATCTGTCTCCACGCTTCAGTTTCATATTCAGTGCTGTCAAGGACGTGTTTAACAAAGCACACAGAAGGCATACCACTGCTAGATAGATTGTATTATCTACATATCAGCAATTGCATAGCTTCGGTGGCTTTGAAGAAAGCCGTTTGGGTTTGTTTAAACGAAAGAAAAAAATATTTACATCCAATACAATACATAAACAAAAGTAAAACATGAATAAAGTACAAACTATGTACAAAATTAAAAAAAATTATTTACATTCTAATGGATAAGAGATAAGATAAGATAAGTGGAATCGTCTCGCTTTCTTATAGAAAGATTTAATTACGTCCACGTAAAATGTTGGTGAACGTTTTAATTGTACCAATAACTGTTTTTAATTGCGATAATTGATAAGTCTGAAATACACTCTTAACCTTATGTATTATCTCAACAAAGTTTTAAGATTTCCTCTCCGATTATCACTTTAACACACTTTAATTCATCACAAGGAACACTATTATCCTCCATTTTCATTGAAACTTTTTAAATAAGCGTAAATTTTGAACTAGTAATATTAAATCGCTTAAGATAAGCACACAGAGTAAATAAACATTGAAACGTGAAATGAACTTGCAAACGTATTGACCGCGCGCCTCCGCTTTTAACAAATTAATTCCCAAAAGCCTAGCTTAATTGCTATATATACAATCGTAGTTATATTTCATTATAGAATATTTTGTCATAGGTTAGAAAGAGAGCGATCGTCTTCTCGAAAGCCCCGTAAAAAGCCCACGCGAGCGAGGGAGACAACTATTACCTCTATTAAAACTCATTTTTTATGACAGCAGCAGTATCGCTAAGGCAATACGAGGTCATCGGTCGACATGTGTCGAACAGTGGAGTGCGCGGGAAATTTGAAATAGCTTGAAACATTTTACGAGTTATTTTATTGATTGATATTATTGATTGATTCAGGTTTAATAAGGCAAGCCCGGCTTTTCGGCTTTAATGGAAGCTTCGCCACTGTTTACATCGTGGATGCATAGAACGCGGCCCGCGGGCCGCGTGCGGCCCGCCGGTCGAATACTGGTGGCCCGCCAACAGCAAAAATAATACTCTCGTACATTCGAAAAATATTGAATTATATTCCAGAATAAAATCAAAAAAAATATGTTCGAAAAATAATTTGAATCTTGCGCGCGCGCTCTTAAGTACGCTTATCGGTGCGCGGTGCATGCGTCGGTAACAGCGGTCGGTAATGTTCGTGCTGATCTCGATTAAATTCGTTTTCTTGAGGACGATGGCAGCGCGGTGGCGGCTTATCCACGGGTTATATTGTTAGAGCAAGCGAGATAGCAATAATCCCAAATTCCCGATTACTCGCGTAGGTAGATACACGAAGCTTCCAGAGTCGGTTTCGTGATTTCTCTAGACAGTTTTCGACTCTATACGCGCGGTATAAACCTAACCGCAGCGACCGACAGTTCGGTTTTAATTTGAGTGAAGTGTCAATAGTTCTAGTATAGATTTTAACTCGACTAGCCGGTGTCATATATTTTGATCCACATTCAACATAGATTTCCCGTCAAGTGCCGTGTATACTTGTGTTGTGAAATCGTAAGTAAAACTCTGTTATTAATAAGTGTTTCCCTACCCATTTAATCAATTATTTTTGGTATTTTAAAAAAGGATGGGTAATTTAAGTAGGTACGGTAATTGTTTTTTGGTGCTGTGTTAATCCTAGCCAGGATTAGAACGCAACATGGACAAGCCAGGACCTAGTAAAAAACGTAAGGTTAAAGATGAAAATCTGCAGTTTCAAGAAATTTGGACTGAGAAATACTTTTTTGTATGGTCGCATAACAAAGTCGTTTGTTTAATTTGCAAGAATTCTGTTGCGATTGCAAAGGAATATAATGTAAAAAGGCACTATCCTACTTTTACCAAGTTTACAGGCGAATTAAGAAAGCAAAAAATGTTGTCTTTAAAACGGGAGCTTATTGGTCAGCAAGCTATGTTTACAAAACCCATTCAAGATTCAGAAACAGCTACAGAAGTTAGTTATGAAATTTCTCGAATGATAGCAAAGCGAAGTCGCCCCTTCAATGATGGGGATTTTGTAAAAGAATGCATAGAAATTGCCGCTAAGATAATGTGTCCAGAAGCAGCAAAAAAGCTTGAGAAAATTCAACTGAATCGTATGACTATGCAAAGACGAATTATGTCTTTGTCAGGTAATATTGCGGAACAATTAAATGAAAAAACTAAGATCATTGAATTTTTTTCATTAGCACTCGACGAATCCACTGATATTAGTTCCACAGCTCAACTTCTGATATTCATACGAAGTGTTACTCAAGATTTTGAAGTCTTAGAAGAGTTATTAGGAATGTGTTCATTGAAAGGTCAAACCAGAGGAGTTGATATACTCAATGTACTTTTGGATGAGTGTTCAAAAACTGATTTGGACTTATCAAAATTACCGGTAGTTGCGACTGACGGTGCTCCTTCGATGATTGGTGTCAATTCTGGGCTAGTTACTTTGCTGAAAAAGCATCTGCAAGAAAAAACATCTCTGCTGAAGATCTCATGCAGTTTCACTGCATTATACACCAAGAAGCCCTCTGTTCGAAAAAAAATTGAATTTCAAAATGTCATGAAAGCGGTAGTTTCGACTGTAAATTTCATAAAATCACGAGGACTCAATCACAGGCAATTCAAACAATTCCTTGATGACATCGAAAGCGAATATGGAGATTTACTGTATTATATAGAAGTAAGGTAGCTAAGTCGTGGATTGACACTGGAACGATTTCTAAATTTAATAGAAGAAATTGGAATTTTCTGGCGGAAAAGCAAAGGGATGTCCCGGAACTTAAAAATCCTGATTGGTTGTGTGATTTGGCTTTTTTAGTTGATATTACAAATCATTTGAATGTCTTGAACACACGGCTTCAAGGCAAAAATCAACTGATATCCCAGCTCTACGCTCATGTATCATCCTTTCAATGCAAGCTGACACTTTTCAGATCGCAATTGAATTCTGGAAATTACAATCATTTTCCGAATCACAAGAAAATGGCTGAAAAATTCAACAGCGATTAATTTCAGTTATGTAGAAAAGCTAGATATTTTGATTCAATCTTTTCAAGACAGATTTTCGGAATTAAAAAAAGTGAAACCTCTGTTGGACATATTCAGCAATCCTTTCACGATTTCAGTTGAAAATGCGCCAGAGTCAATGCAGTTAGAAATTATCGACATTCAAAACGACCAAGATTTACGCAACAAATTCAACGAAGGAGACTTGCTGAACTTTTACCGCTGCATTGATAAAAATACGAATCTGCTGAACAAGGAAGAATGCGCAGGCGATCCATTCTTTCATTAATTAAAAATATATAGAAAAGGATGACAACCGATCACACAGCTCACCTGATGGTAAGCGGATGCTGTGGCCCATAGACATCTACATCTATCCTCGAATAAGAATCAAAATGCAGATGCGTTGTCACTGAGGACTAAGATAAAATGCCTCGTATCCAGTAAAAAGAATCTCCGCTTCTCTACACTCATTGGAATGGTATTCTTTGAGAGCTTGATCCTTCTCCGGTCTAGCCGACCCATTCGTGCTACAATCATAATATAGCTGGAACTAACTACTAAAATAGTTCAATGCTGAACCATGGTCTCCGCCTCCGTTCCTCTGTCACTTCTTATGACTTTCACGTGTAGAGTAGTTTTCTTACACCAGTACAAAACCGCAGGTGGTAATTTTTTTATAAATGCAAGTGAAAATATCTACTACAACTAAATTGCCATTAAAAAGTTCACATATCACACAGCTGTTCTTTTCTCTGTGAGATACATTTATCTTTATAATATTTTATGTCAATACAAACGTTCCGTCCTTGAATAACATATATAATAAATTACTTTTTAACAACCGTATTTTTGATGTTACTCGTACTTGAAGGACGTGGTAAGTAGATAATATAAACGTATAATTCTTAAATTGTGCCTGTGACCTGCCGAAACCAAACAATACGTAAACCACAGAAATCTAAATAATAAGGCAATTATTTAGATTTCTGTGATGTAAACAGAACTCACACTATCCCGTTAAAAGCACGTGCGTGTGCAGTGTGAGTACAGTTTAAATTTCAACAAATAACGTTCAATAGTGTTATAGTAATATGGATTGCTATAGCAATGTCACTGGCAGAGAAACTATCGGAACAGGCTTTAATACGACCATTGCTTTAGCACAGAGTACGTAATAGTACTACGTAAGTTTAGTCAGACCTCTGTCACTCTTGCTACCTGCCTGAAATAATTATCTACAATCGCGCGGGACTTCAGGCTACATACAAACAGTCAACCTAACTAAAAATACTATTATGCTGTTTATTTTTGAATACGAGCACAATCAAGAATAAATTGATAGAGAAAATCTTTATCATTAAGGAATATGTGCCAAAATCTAAGAAGAAAGAAATAAATATTTTATTTCGCCATAGGAATTATAACGACGGCATATTGTACACATTTATACGTGGTAGAGCCACGCTGCAGCTATATTATGGTTGTAGCACGAATGGGTCGGCTTGACCGGGGAGGACCACGCTCTCACAGAATACCAGCATAAAATAGCATAGCTTTAATGCTGCTGTGTTTCGTATGGTGAGTGTAGAAA